TGGAGGCCGCGAGCCGCAGGCTGCGGGGCGCTCAGCCGTGCCTTCCCCCAGCTCTGCTGGTGCTCGCACGGGCATGGAGGCCCGTTATCTCCATCCCTCTCTGTCCCCTTGCCTCCCCCGTATTGCTGCTGCTTCAGAGCCCTTCAGATCATGTTTGCAAACTTTCTCTGCTTTCCTTAGTATCCCTATAACACCTTGCATGCAAGAGTGACCCCTCTGGAAGCAGCAGGGATGCAAGTCCTGGCTGGCGCGTGTGGCGCTGGGAGAGCTCTCACAACCTCTCCTGAGGAGCTGGGGCTGCTTTTGGGACGTAGGGCCTTGGTGGAGCTCTGCGTGCGGAGAGCAGCTCGTGGGATGGTGGTGGGAGAGAGCTGACAGCCGTGGGGAGATCAGGCCACTTTTACCCTGCCTCCTCCCTGCTTTTTGTAGCTTTTCCTGCAGCCGTATCCAAAAGGAACGGGCCAAGCTTGGCGGATGAGGCGGCCTCTCTGCAGATCCTCCCTTACTGCCTTCAGCATCCCAATTTCTGCTTCTCCTTGTGCCAGGCTGCTGTTTGCGACGCCTCCGCGGTCCCCTGCTCCATCGCGAGTCCATGGGGAGTCCTCGCTTCATCATCGATCTCCGTCAGCATCCTGGTCGCCCCCTCGGTGCCTCCGTGCTTTATGTGCTGTGTCAGCGTATCGACAAAAAGCTCATCTCTCCTCTCTTCTCTTCCGACAGCCGCTGCAGATCGACGACAATTTCTGCGGCCAGGATTTTAACCAGCCGCTGGGCGGGACGGTCACCATCGAGGGGACTCCGCTCTTTGTGGATAAGGAGGATGGCATGACCTCGGTGGCAGCCTACGATTACAGAGGACAAACCGTCGTCTTTGCAGGCACGCGGAGCGGGAAGATCAAAAAGGTAGGAGTCCTCTGGCGGTTTCGATGGGTGGGATGCTGCTGTGGAGGCAGAGGGATGCCACGTTGGTGGCTCCCTCAGGGGCATGGATAGGACTGTGCCTCCTTCGTAGCGTGACCTTGTGTGTTGCGGGTAGCAAGTGGAGGTGCTGTGAGGGATCTCCCATTGCTCCTCCGTGCTAACCGGATCTACCAAACCCACCTTGTGAAAAGGTTGTATTATAATGGAGGGAAACTGAGACCAGGCTAGCCCTGGATCAGTGTCCATCCCGTTGTCTCTCAGGGTGTTGGGTTCGCACTTCCAAGTGTCCTGGCACAGGCCATGTCTGTCCAGGCCGCTTGACCTGGGAAGGACCAGCAAAGATGGGGGCTCATGACTTCCTGCGGCTGGTGTTGATGGAAACATCTAGCCCAGTGACAGTGCTGACTTCTTTGAAATGGGCAATGCGGGAGTTTCTCTTCATTCTCCTTGGGCTCAGAGTTTCCTCATCTGTTGCCCTTGTGTCCTGAAGTTGGTTGAAATGGAGGAAGTAGGGTCTAAATTTAGATGTTTGGTGCCTGCTCGAGGAGAGTCGCATTCTTGGCTGAGGTCAGGATGAACTGTGCTCTGCTATCGCTGGGATTTTTCTAACCCAGTTAAGTTTTGTCCTTGGCCTTCCGTCTTCGTTTGAGCTGGCTGTGCAGTGCCCTGGCTTTGGAGAGAAGGATGCGTTTGTTGAGAGGCAGCCGAGTGGGGAAGGCCGCCTCTCCTCCGCCCATGCTGGTAGCATCCTTGCGTTCCCATCGCCGTGTCTGATTACGGCTGCTGAGGCGGCCCGTGGTTGAGGAGAGCCCAAGGGCAGACAAAGCTGTGCTGCAGATAGGAGCCAAACTAGTGTGAGCGTTGGCTTGGCAGGAGAGATCCCTCGGGGCGCGGGGTGACGCAGCCCGGCTGCCCCCGGCCATCCCGCGGCGCGGGGGAGATCCCGCTTCCCCTACCCCACCGCGGCACAAAAGGCTGCTTTGTTGGTGGCAATTAGCAAATAGCTCCGTGTGTGTCTGTTTCTCTCCCTGTATCTCCACAGGGCATGGATTTCCTGTTATCATAACATCGTTCCTATAATTACAGCTGTACATGCCCTGTATAAACACAGCTTGCATTAACTGCATCCCCATCCAGGCAAGGGCGTATCGACGGTCCCGGCATCAGCCCTGCAAGAGGCAGCAGGAACGGGCCTTGCACAGAGAGTTGGGCCCATTGCTGCTTCTGCTGGAGGAAAAGGTGCCTTGTGGGGCTCTCCAGCACCTGGTCCTGGGCAGAATGCCCTGAATTTTAAAATTCTATTGCGTCTCTTAAATTTCTTTTTCCTCGCGATTGTAGCTTTTTAAAACACCCGTGCTCTTGGGTGTTCCATGGGTACGTTGGGAAAGCCCAACACTGTCCTGAAGGCCTTTGCTCTCTGATCCATGGTTATTCCTTCAGCCCATTTGCTCCGTTAGAGACGCCAGCATCACCTCCTTCTGTTTTTGGGGGACCCCGAATCACGGGGGTGTCTGGCGGCGGTCGGAGCAGGGTGCTGGGGTGCGATGCGTGGCCCCGTTGCTCGTCCCGCTGTGCCTGTGTCCGCCCTGGGCCGCTGGCACTGGAGCGGCCCGTTCCCGGCGGCGCGGAGGAGGCGGCGGAGGAAGCGCCGCTCTGCCGCGGTGCCGGTTTCTGCCTCACTGGGGAGGAATGCGGCGCTGGCCCCCGGCCAGGCACCGGCCGAGGAGAGTTTTTAACTCATGACGTCGGTGTCAGGGGCCGGTGTGGGGAGCAGGGGGCAGCCAGGCCGCGGGAGGCCGGGTCGATGTCCCCATGAGGGTCCTGCTCCTTCCGTGGGGTCCTGCTCCCCTCCGGGAAGGGGAGGTTGTTTTGAGTGTCCTGGGTGAGGCCTGGAGCACTGGAGGGGAAGGGAGCAGCCCGCTGTGCCGTGGGGCCGGGAGCAGGGACCTGGTGCAACTCCTCGTTCAGTCTGAACCGAGCCGCTCCTCACCCTCATCTCCTCCTTTCCCCAAGACAGGAGCTTGTGAGACACCTTCAAGGGGGAAAAACGGTTCCCATCCAAGCAGAGGCACCGTTCCTTTAGTTTGTAGATGGAAAACTGCAGTAAGAGGGTCCAAATTTGTCAGCTCCGGGTCTTGATGAGGGTCCCGCCAGGCCGTCCCATGCTCTGTACTGGCGGCAGCGCCGCTCGCGCCTGGCCCCGGCCGGGGAAGGAAGGGAGCTGGCGGAGGCAGCTCGTCCTCCCTCCCTGATGGATGAGGGATCTGCAGGAACCAATGTTGCGTTTCTGGTGGCCTCTCCTGCTCTTGAGCTGCAAACTGGAGGTTTTAAATAGCCTGTAGCAACATAAGGAATGGGGATGGGGAGAAAGGAGCGTGTGGGAGGAGGGTTCACAAAGCCACGAGGACACTGTTACACCTCCAGTTCCTTATTTATCTAGAAATGATGGCAGTTCTTTCCTGTGTGGCAGTTTTTTTTTCTGTCCTTCCATTTTCACCTCATTTTTGTTATTTTTTTTCCTCCACTTTTTCCTCTGTTCTTTGCAGCCTTGGAGCCATTTCCATGGGGTTTGTAGGGTGAGTGCCTGTCCTGGAGCTGCACTCTTGTCCTGGGTACAAGGTATAAGGCCAGGTCAAGCCTGAGACCAGGACATTGAGCCTCGGTGTGACTTGAGTGACCTCCTCTCCTGCAGATCTCTTCCTAGCTTTCTTTTCCCTGATTTCTGCCCCCCACTTTCTCCTCTGTTCTTTACAGCCTTGGAGCCATTTCCATGGGGTCTTGTAGGGTGAGTGCCTGTCCTGGGGCTGCACTCTTGTCCTGGGTACGAGGTATAAGGCCAGGTCAAGGCCAGGACATTGAGCCTCCGTGTGACGAGTGACCTCCTCTCCTGCAGATCTCTTCCTAGCTTTCTTTTCCCTGATTTCTGCCCCTCACCAGTGTGTGTTGGTGCTGTAGAGTTGGCTGTAAACTGCTGTCGCTGGCAGAAGGGAGCTGCCGGCGCAGCTGTGGCCCCTGTTTTGAGGAAATAGGAGCTGGGGCAGTGGCTGCTCGTGCACGGCTGTGGTCAAGCGGCGCTACTGGCTCTGGAGCACTTGAACCGGGCATGGTGGCTTGGGAGGGCTTCATCAGGCCTTGCCGTGTGTTGGGAGCCGAAATCTGCTTCCACGTAGCTTCAGCGGGCTTGGGAAGCCTCAAGGGAGAGCAGAGCTCTCCGACGAGGCTGTGGAAACACTTCAGCAGCTCCGAGCGCAGGGCTGGTGACTCCTGTGTCTCGGTTCCACCGCTGTAACCT